TCAATCAAATTGTTTTTGGTACAGACAATCTTACAAGAATAATAATATTATTATTCCCTGTTTACAGATTAGCAAATAAGGAAGTTGAGTAACTCAACACTCATAGTCATAAAGCAACCAAAAAAACAGAACCAGAATGCTGAGATACTTCTGACCTAAAAGCTTATATTGATATTACTATGTTATTGACTATTTTGAAGACTCTTTGTGATGATTAAAGATAATGTATACAAGGTATCTAAAATAGTGCCTATTCCCAAAATTATAAACTCAAGCTAAAACTGTTAATTAATAAATAGCTGATGAAAAACAACACTGTTTAGACTTACCAAATGGTATATATGCTTGTGTTTCAGCTTTAGTTTTCAATGTCAAATTGTTGTTCAAAGACAAATTGATTCACAAATATTTATTGAGCACCTATGATGTGACAAACATTTAGCACACCATGGTTGGTGGTTCAAACCCATCAGTCCTTCTTCAGAAATCCTATACAAGGTTGCTATGAGTTAAAACTGACTCAACAGCATTTAACAACAGTGGACTGGCGGTGTGAAAAACAGGTACCAACTTTTTCATCAACAATTTACAATGTAGAGGTTGCTGGACTGAATTAAAAGTCATGGCAGAAATACCCACCTCTAAATGGTATCTGCCTTTAAACTGGGAATAAAACAACCACCATACAGACTACATATTTGCTGATCAAGAAATGCAGTGAATCTATAAATGGAATGAATGCCACTGAACTGTACCTGTAAAAACTGTTGAAAACTATATCATGATGTTTTAAAATAGCAATGGATCTTAGCAAGTACAAACCAACAAGAGAGATCTGATGGTGTTATTCAATGCAAAGAGCCTTTAAAAAAAAAAATTGCCTTTTTCTAAGGTTTAAATGAATCTTTTAGTAAGCTTTACAAATACCCACATAACATTTCCATTTTCATTCAAATTGTATATAAGTAAGCTTTCTCCAATGTTTTGCATTTCCAAATTTAATTCTGGTCTTTTTAGACCAAAATCCTTGTTTCTATCCAAAGCAATCCTATTTTGAGGCCTATCTTAATGTTTAGGATCCTAGCCTATGATTTAAAAACAACCAGAAAAAAAAAAAAATCTCTCTTAAGACACCATTATTACAGCTAATCGCTAATCATGTTTTGTTTTTGGTTATTCTTCCATTTCTCCCGTAGCTTCTCTTCCATGTCAGATAGATTCCAAAAGCTAAATCTGTACTCTGGCAAGATAACAATCCTAGTGCTTATCACTTCTCATTCCTTTTATTATTCCATCACCAATTATACTGTCCACAAGGGAGTCCATTACATGAGAGTCTGCTACCAAGAGATCAACTGCATGGAACAGCTGTTTATTTGCAAACACCGACTGAGATGAACATTTCATCCAGAAAGATGGCTAATTTTTGTAGCAGTATCTTCTCATTTGGGAGTACAGTGGTGAGAACCCACCAAGCACTCCACAGGGGAAAGATGAGGGTTGCTACGAGTCAGAACTGACTCAAGGACACTTAACAACAACAACAACAACAACAACAACAACTTCCCATTTACATTAGATCACCCACCATCCTTTTCCCCTTTTTTCAATTCTGCATGCATGATAAATAACCTTATTTTTTATCCATGGAACGCCACTGGAATAGAACTGACAGGAATGTCAACAATTATCTCAGACAAGCAAGACAGCTCATGCATTCAGGAGCATGACGGATAATCATTAACAACAGCAAAATCAGCATGCATTAAGTTCTTACTGTTTGTCAGGCACTGCACTAGTGCCTTTACACACATTATATCATTTATTATTCATAATAATAATGCTGTGATATAGGTGAATGTCAATATTTCCATTTTATAGATGAGAACTCTGATGGCACATAGTTTAAGTTACTTATACCCCACACCACAAAGCTACTAGGTGGCATAACTGTGATTTAAACCCAGGCCTGCCTGACTCCACCCTCCCTCCACTTTACAATGAGAATAACGGAAAAAGGGGAAGGAGGGATGAAAAGCAGGGAGAAGAAGAGAAGGATAATGCAGTGCATCCTCCATCATTTTTAATTGATTAAATGAACACCCAGTGAGCATCTGGTACTCACCAGGCATGTGCTCATAAGGCAAATGATTTTTCTTAGAGAGGCACATAGGGCTTAACCAAACGCACTGCCATCGAATTGATTCTGACTCACAGGGACCCTATATATTAAGTTTCCAAGGCTATAAATCTTTAAAGCAGCAGAATTCCTCATCGTTCTCCTACAGTGTGACTGGTGGGTTTGAACTAGTGACCCTGCGGGGTGCAGTCCAGTGTTTGCCCTACAACGCTGCCAGGGGCCAGAGAAGAATCTCCAGTAAACAACTGCTGTCCTCCAGCATGAGGGCTCCACCACAAGAGCAGAGGGGTAACAGAACCCTGCCAGGGTAACTGAGGAAGGCTTCTGAGCTGAGGGGCCTCATAACACGAATCTAACAATATCTGAGACTTTTCTAATCAACTATGGTGACAAGGTTATACCAAGCAAAGGTAAAAGCAAAGATAACATAGCAGAGGTATGGGAGGTGACAGATGCTGAGGAAATTCAAAGTGGTCCACAGGCTGCAGAGGAGGATGCATGGTGAAGATTGTGGGAGATAAGAATTCAAGAGATGGCAGCTTTGATAGCACTTTGTTGTTGTCAGGTGCCATCGAGTCGGAATAGACTCATAGCGACCCCATGCACAGCAGAACGAAACAATGTCCGATTCTGGGCCAACCTCACTACCGCTGCCACACTTGACACCATCAATGATGCCACCTGGCTGATACATCTCGTTGAGGGTCTTCCTCTTTTTCTCTGACCCTCCACCTTATCCGGCATGACATCCTTCTCCAGTGACTGTTCTCTCTGGACAATGTATCCAAAGTATGAGAGATGAAGCCTAGCCATCTTGGCCTCCAAGGAACACTCTGGCTGCTCTTCTTCCAAAACAGATCTATTGGTTCTTTTGGCAGTCCAAGGCACTTTCAGTATTCTCCTCCAACACCACAACTCAAAGGCATCAATTCTTCTACCATCTTCCTTATTCACTGTCCAGCTTTCGCATCCATATGAGGTTACTGAAAATACCATAGCTTGGGTCAGGTGCACCTTAGTCCTCAAGCTGACATCTCTGCTCTTCAGTATTTTAAAAAGTTCCTGTGCAGCAGATTTGCCCAATGCAATACGTCGTCTGATCTCTTGACTGCTGCTTCCGTGAGTGTTGATAGTTGATCCTTGATAGCACTTTAGGAGAGGACATTAAGACCTAGCATCAGGAAAAGGAGTAACAAGGAAATATGGGATAGAGCTGGACCATATGAGGCTGCCAGAGCATAATATGAGGTTATCAGAGCAAAACATATGAGTCCTGGTATAGTGCTATATAATAAGCAGTGGACCACAAGGTTGGTGGTTGAAACTCACCAGTTGCTCTTCAAAAACCCTATAAAAAGTTGCTATGAGTAGGAACCGACTCAATGACAGTAACAACAGCAACAGCAACCTTTAGTGTAGCATACAAGAGCTTTAACTACTGTACCCCCAAGGCTACTTTATAGTCCACAGTTGTGTTTTAAAAGCACCTGACAAGACAATTCATAAGACTTACTGACTTATGATAACCTCATTGTTGTTTAAAGTGCCATCAAGTTGATTTCAATTGATAGCAACCCTGTGTAGAGTTTCCAAAGAGCAGCTGATGGACTCAAACTTCTGACCTCGTGGTTCACAATCCACTGCATATTCTACAGATCCACTGCCTTCATTGTAGGATAAGCTCTCAACTTCAAATTCACTTTGAACCTCAAGGTCAGCAGTTCAAACTCACCACCCTCCTTGGAAACCCTATCACTATGAAGCACAACCAACTTGAAGACACTTAAAACAACAAAATTGGAACCTTGGATTCCAAGGAAATGAAAGACCTTGGGCAGAGAGTGAAATAAAATATTTCTGAGCTGGAGATGAGGTTGAAATGACAGGCAGGCGAAATGGACACAGATGGGCTATTCAGTAGTGCATAAATTGTCACTGGGGGCTAGGTATCAGCTATAAGGGTACAAGGTGGAGACTAGGAGACAGGATGATAGAATTACTACTTTACCTTGAAAATGAATCAAATGCTTCTAGTGAATAGAGAAGCCTCTTGAACTGATAATATATAAATCACCACAACATACTTTGAGGAAACATTTTGATGGACATGCACAGTTATATATCATCAAGATTTGAGACACTATTTTATCATTCCTTGGGGTATTATTTTTTCTGTGCAGAAAGATGAGAAGTGTTCATCTAACTTTTCTAGATCTGCTGCTAAATACGTAACTAGACTACAACGCCTGTCTTTAAACTGTCAGATCTGGACTCTGTCTCTCATCTCTCTCTACAGATAAGAAATGGGATTTTCAGAAAGTGAGAGGACCCTACGTATCCTGGATTTGTCAAAAACTCTTGCCAAGAATATAACTCTATTACAGCATTTATACTAAAGAAGCATCATAAATTTAATAAGCTCTGATTTGGTATTCGATGAAATAAAATTTCTAGTGGAATAAAAGAAGTCAGAAGATACTGCTTATGATTAGACTTCATGCAGGTGTCATTGAAACTTTAGTTTCTTTGACTCAGCAATTTCTTCTTTCTGATTTGCCATCTCCCACTTTCTGCATTATCACTCTCATTTTGAAAAGGAGCCACTGGGTAAAGATAAGTCTGGCAATGCATGCTTTTAGGTAACCTTCTTCCAGTGCAGAAGCAGCCCCATAGCAGTTAAAAAGGTCAGTGTGGAAAGGCTAGACTTTAGTTTTCACACAGACCTGGGTTCAAGTCCCAGCTATGAATATTAATAGCTCTATGTGTCAAATCCTTGAGCCCATTGCCTTCCATATATCCTTTGTAAAGTGGTCTAAAAGTTAAGAGATTAATAAGTAGAAAACTATATTTTTGGTCTTACCATTTTTATCTGCTCTCCTTAGTATCTAGAATGGAAAAAAAGAAGAAGAAAAAAAGTATCACCATTTTTTTAAGTATTGCAGTGAATGTTATACTTACACATAATTCAGTCATCATTAAATAAAACCATTTCCCATTTTAAATAAAGGTTCCTCAAATGAGATTTCTAATTGTAGTAGACAAAACTTCCAACAATCCAAATTTCTATCAACAGTTCAAAGTACAAACAAATTATGTTATATTAATATATTGGAACACTACTGAGCTATAAAAAGGAATAAACTATTGGTACATGCAACAAGACAGAGGGATCTTAAAATAATTACACTGTGTAAAATATGTAGCCAAAAAATGTACCTACTGTACAATTTCATTTTTATAAAATTCTAGAAGATGCAAACTAATCTACAGTGACAGAAAAAAAGATTGAGGGTAGATTAGGAACATGATCAAGATGCATTGATAATTACCAGTGATTGGAATGTGAAGGTTGGAAACATAGAGGAATGATCAGCAGTTGGAAAATATGGGCCTGATGGTAGAAAACATGCTAGAGATGGCAGAATATAATTTTGCAAGACTGATGACTTATTCATTGCAAATACCCTTTGAAAGTAATATAAAAGTATGTTTCTCCTCAGAAACCCTATACTGGACTGTTGTGAGCTAGAATCAACTCAACAGCACTAAATAACAAACAATAAATATGGACAAAGTATTGAATGATGCAGAAAACATCAAAAGAAATGGAAGGAATACAAAGAGTCACTGTACTAGAAACAAATGGTTGATGTTCAACCATTTCAAGAGATAGCAGATGATCAAGAACCAATGATATTGAAAGAAGTCCATGCTACACTGAAGGCATTAGCTAAAAACAAGTCTCCAGGAACTGACAGAATACATACTGAAATCTTTCAATAAACTGATAAAACACTGGAGGTGCTCACTTATCTACATCCAGAAATGTGGAAGACACCTACCTGGCAAACTGACTGGAAGAGATACATATTTGTGTCCATTCCAAAGAGAGGTGACCCAATGAAATATGGAAGTTATCAAGCAGTATCATTAATATCACATGCAATTAAAATTTGCTGAAAAAAATGGTTGTAACAGTACATGGATAGGGTACTGACAAAAATTCAAGTTGGCTTCAGAAGAGAATATATAACTAGGGATATCATCACTGGCTTCAGATGGATGCTGGCTGAAAGCAAAGAATATAACAGAAAAATATTTGCTTATGCTTTATTGGGTAGGCTTTAGACTGTGTGGATCATGACACACCATGGATAACATTGTGAAGAGTGGGTATTCCATAACACTTAATTGTGCTCATGAAGTACCTGTACATAGACCAAGAGACGATTGTTAGAAAAGAGCAAGGGGATACTGGATGTTTTAAAATCAGGAAAGGTGTGCAGCAGGGTTGTATCCATTAACCATACTTGTTCAATCTGTATGGATTATATTAGAAAGAACATGGCACTAGGATTCAAAGAAGACTCATTGGCAACCTTGCTTGCTAGAAGTGAAGAACATTTAAAATGTTTACCAATGGGAGAACAAACAAGATGGCAGATCGGGTGGAAGTGCAGTAAGGAGTTCCATCAACAACAACACGGAATACCCAACCGAGCAGGCTCAGGGGATGGTCCCAGAACTCTGAACCACATATAAAGGAATATTTAGAAGGTTGGAAGGCTTACAGCTAGGGAAATTTGTGGCAGAAGCAGGAAATCCATTGCTTTCTAGTTCAGGATGCTCGATGCTCTGGGAGCCACCATCTTGAGTGAAACTGTGTGGGGGAAGGATCAGAGCGGCCATGGACCCCTGGCAGAGCTGCGGAGATAAGGGTATGGACGTTCTTTTCTTTTGGTATCTGTTCACTGGTCCCTTGCTGTCTGTGCACCTCCATTTTGGTGACTGTGGGGGTGCCTGAGCTGGTGGACACCTCAGCTCCACCCGCGGAGGGTTCTACTAAGCATGCCCCACAGATCTCCCTGAAATTTAAAGAAACAGTTTCCAATTAAAACCAAATGGCCACGGCTGGCCCCAAACTGTTTATAACTAGAAAAAAGGCCTGAATGGGGATTGTGGAGCAGGACAAGCAGACAAAAAAGGAAACAGGCCAAAAATTAAATCCTAAATTACATCAAAACGACCAACAGTGGCATCTTAAAATTTCTCAAGAAGAGTGAAAAGGGAAGCCAATTTCCTGATCCCATCTACCTGGAGGCAATCAGAAAGCATAAAATACCAAAATACATACCTATCTAAGTATTAAGGCCATAGATAACCCCTGAAGATGCCAAAAAAAACAGAAGCAGATGACCATATCTGCACATGTCCAGAAACTAGATAAAGTGACTGAGGCAAATGAGCTGGAAGTAGACCTACACTCCATACTGGAAGATGGGCAGGCTTTGGAAATGCCTGAGAAGGAATTCAGA